ATTTGCCCTCTCCAGTGGTTTGCAATGTAACAGGCAGCACAAATGTCTTGATAACTCAGGCTGTTGATGTTGCCATCCACTCTGCAGATCTCTCACACGCCCCCATACTGAATGTAACCCCAAACCATGATTTTTTCTTCACCAAACTTGACTGGTTCTGTGAGAATCTTGGGTCCATGCGGGTTCCAGTAGGTCTTCTGCAGTATTTGTGATGATTGGGATGCAGTTCAACAGATAATTCATCAGAAAAATTGACCTTCTGACACGTTTCCAAATGATCAACCAGAAGTCAAGTTATTATTTGTCTTCTGTCAGGTATAGCAAGTACATGCAATTAATATTACTCGTTAGTTAAATGAAAAGATACTGTCTACACACTGAAAAAAATTATTCAAAGATGATTCCTTGGATTTACTAGTTTGTTTTACGTTAAGTGGTTGTAAACGGTCTATTTGGGTTGAATTTAAACAAACAAATTAAGTTGAACATTATTAAACTTAATTTGTTTGTTTAAATTCAACACAAATTAATTGTTTGCAACAGTTCTACATGCAACACTTTTTTCAGTGCATGACCTTAAAATAAAGTTTTACCAATTCAGTCTCCCGATGTTTGTGTGCATGTATATACAGTTGAAGTCAGAATTATTAGCCCCCTTGTTTATTTTCCCTAATTTCTGTTTAACAGAGAGAAGAGAACACATTTCTAAACATAATAGTTTTAATAACTCATCTCTAATAACTGATTTATTTTATCTTTGCCATGATGACAGTATTCCCAGGGATGGGTTGTGGCTGGAAGGGCATTTGCTGCATAAAAACGTGCTGGATAAGTTGGCGGTTTGTTCCGCTGTGGCGACCCAAGGTTAATAAAGGGACTAAGCCGAAAATAACATGAATGAATGTATTACTAGTATTTACAACACTTTAACAAATGATACAAACAAATCCAACATACTGTAGTTTTTTGTACACCAAACTATAGTGTATTAATATGCCTAGTTGTAAAATATTTAAAGTGTTGGGTCAATTTGTTTATTATTAAAGTTGCTGTATTATAATTATAAAATATGCATTCACTGGCCACTTTATTAGGTACTAATACTATAGGCCTACAACTGCTAATTATTGCAAACTTCTAATCAAATCAAATCACTTTTATTGTCACATCAGCACAAGCACGTGTGCTACAGTATGATGAGTGAAAAGGTTAAAGTCATTTTTAACCAGCCAATCACATGCCAGCAACTCGAAAATGAATGAATGACAGTAAAATAATTAATATTTGACATTTTTCAAGACACTTCTATACAGCTTAAAGTGACATTTAAAAGGCTTAACTAGGTTAATTAGGTTAACTAGGTAGGTTAGAGTAATTAGGCAAGTTATTGTATAATGATGGTTTGTTCTGTAGACAATCAGAAAAGAAAATTGCTTAAAGGGGCTAATAGTTTTGACCTTAAAATGGTGTTTGAAAAAATTTAAACTTTTATTCTAGCCGAAATAAAACAAATAAGACTTTCTCCAGAAGAAAAAACATAATCAGACATACTGTGAACATTTCCTTGCTCTGTTAAACATCATTTGGGAAATATTTATTATTTGGGAAATAGATATTCAGCCAAGCTCAAAATTATTCCTGGCAAATTCTGATGAAGTTTTTGTTTTAAAGTATATAGAATTGAGAAATAGGCCTTTTCCCCCACAATAATGTCTCATTTACATCATATTTTATTGTGCATTTGTAAATTACTATTAATGGATAAACTGGTAAGGTAAAATTTCCAAAGATAATTGAAATTCACACACAAAAAAAAAATAAAAATAAATAAAAGCCAAAAGACATTCAGAAGACAAAGACGGGTTTATATTATTACAATAGACAGAGCTTTTACATTTTTTCCACAGCTTTAAGAGACTTCATTAAGAACAAAAAATTAACAAAAATCTTGTATAAGGCAGATAATTTGAAAGTCTGCATTTGTGGATAAATATTACTGTTTTTATTAATATTTTGTCTTGTTCTTTTGGGAGAAACCTGTATCATTTACGGTAAAAAATACAAACAAACAGTACCTTAAGTCAGAGTTTGCTAGGGATGTGACTCATTTCGGGATAGTCTGTAGCTAAATGATAAAAACACTGGACAAAGTCGAGCTTTATAACACATTCAACCACACAGCGGCACTGTAGGGTAAAAGATAAAGTCCCTGACCAAGTCAATGGGTTGGAAATTATATTTTTACCCCTGTCACCGCCGGCATTTCCCGCTCAAGGACAAGTCAAAAAATTTACATCAAGAGATATTTTTAGGCCGAACTAAGACTGTGCAAATCATTCAGCGAAATGCTCCTCTGAGATTTGTGCTGCTAATTTTACGTCCGCTTGAATATGTTATAAACCCCCCGAGCTCAAGTAAACTTTTACGCTAACGTTTCTCTCGGCTAGTTTAAGGACGGATCTCCGTGGCATATCTATTATTATTTACTTTCTACTCAGAA